GGTCATTCTTTTGCCAATTTTTCTCAAAGTAATTTAGAGTATTATGCAAGAGTCTATCGGCTATTGTTTGTATATTTGCGTATCTGAGCATAAGTTTTGATGAGATACTGCGGGGGACTTTGTATGCTGTGGTGATTAATGTGTTTTGTATAGTTTGTAGTTTATTTATGTGTTTCGGAGCTATGTTTATCCATGCAGGGCTGGCGTATTCTATTATGGGACGTATATATGTTTTGTATATTTTAATAATGTTTTCAGGTGATGTTCCCTGTGTCTTGCCTGTTAGACTTCTTGCATAATTTGTGCGTTTCCATATTTTTGTTAATATATTATTTGTATGCACTACCTTGATTTGGGTCTTTTAGAGGCATATTACTCACATATATGATGAATAGAATAGGGCTAATACCCCCCCCCCCCTTGGGGTACACCTGCCTCTGGGGTAAATGCCTCAGAGTAGGTTCCCCTTACATTTATTTTACATGTTTTATTATCCAAGAAGTTAGATAGCCAGCGAATAATCACCCGCGGTAGTTCCAATTCTGTCATACGGAACCTGAGACCATTGTGCCATACAGTGTCGAAAACTTTCTCGACATCGAGAAAGCAGGCGACAGTGCATTCACTTTTATTAAAACTATCTATTATTGTTTCTGTTAATCTAACCAAATGATCAGTTGTCTGTCTGAATTTTCTAAAACCATTTTGAGTTTCTGGTAATTTAGAAGTGGTTTCTAGGTAATTTGAAAGCCTATTGCTTATTATTCATTCTGGGATTTTGACTACGCAGCTGGTCAGGCTGATCGGGCGGTAGTTGTTTGGTTTATTTGCTGGCTTTCCTTCTTTATGGAACATAAGTACGATCGCTTGCTTCCAAGAAACCGGGATATATCCAGAGCTTAGTGATAAGTTAAAAAGTGCTGTAAGGTGTCTATACAATCTCCGAGTGCCTTTTATGAGGAGGATGGCCTGTATGCCATCTTCTCTTGGTGCCTTGTTTTTGGTGGTTTTAATGGCTTGTTGAAAATCTGTTTTTGTTATTGTTTTTGTTAATAGATGTGTAATTGGGTTTTCTATTTCATTTAGTCTGATATTTGTGTTTTGTGTGTTGATTGGAAATTTTGGTGTGTACATGGTTATGTTTTGTTTAATGTGGTTGTTTACTTTGTTGTAAAAATGTTCATTCATGTCTGGTTCATTGTGTGTTTTGTAGGTGTGCTTTGAATACTTTTGCTTTTTCTGTGTTTGTGTATACTGTCTTATTTTGTGTTTCTAGGGGTGGATAGTTACTATTAGTGTTTCCTGTATTGGTGAATTAAATACTTTTTTAAATTAA